AAAGATGATATTCAGAGAATGACTGTATAATTAAAATACATCCTAAAATAGTGATCGATTTTGTCAAACAAAAAAATGTAAGATGACTTGATTTTAAAAACCTTTTTTTTTTAATTTCTTTAAAAGAACGGTAGATTTTTGCCTTAATAAAAGTCTCCACGTTTCATAATTATCTCATCATATCGACTAAACAGAGTAACAATCGCAATATCTTAGAGTATGTCGTACGTACGTACACATATGTACCCTACGTACGTACGTATCAGTATGTATGTACGTATGGATACTTCTATAAAGCGAGATAATGTTATTTAAGTCTCACCCATCAGCCCACCAAGATGTATGAAATTTTTTATAAATAGTAAATTTATTTTGGTATTTGCGTGTGAATTTACAATTTACATATATAATATTTTTATTTAATAATATTTTTTATTTAATAAAATAAAATCTAAGAGTACATTATACAGTATATATATACATATTGCATCTGTTAATCTTAAGATAAAAACGTTGGCAGTGTGTAATCACGCGCTACTATTTACTATTTGTTTGTCTATATTTTTTCGGACTTTATATTTTAATTCATTCTTTTAACTTCTATATATATCATACTCTCACCTCACTCTTTAAACTCTCCGTTTTCTACTATACTCAATTTTTAATAATGTCATTGAGGACACCACCTCCTAGTCGTCAACAGCGCTTAAGTGGTGAGGCAAAAAATGGCGATACAACGAATATTAACAATTCTCAAGACATGGCAAGAAAGAGACAGCTTGAAAAAGACGAGAAAATAAGAAAGAAAGTTGAACATGATCTTACAAGAACCAATAAACTTTATGGGAAAAGAACGCTTGATAAAATACCAAAGACAGCCGGTTCTGTTGGAAGCTTGAGACCTTCCCCCGCAATAACCTTACTAGGTAAGCACTTGGCTTATCCCTTGGAATCTTGATTCAAAGATTTTAAACCTATACTTAATCTGAAGAACCCATGGAAAGAGGTATAATTTTTTGTTATAAACTAATTTATATCTTTTAATGTTTTAGAAACGGCCACTGTAATGGACGCCTCACGCTTTATGGCCGTAAGCAGGTTGAAAATTTTGATATCATTTCTTAATGCTCTACCCTTTTTTTTTTTTTTCTTTAAAAAAATTCTTATTGATTTAATAAAATATGATAGAGCCACAGCAGTACTTGTTGTAGATGAATTAGAAAGATTGATAGGAATCGTTACTGACAAAGACTTGGCGTTCAGAGTTTGTGCCGAAGGTCTTAATCCTAATGCAACATCCCTCGCAGAAATAATGACTAGGAATCCCGATTGTATTACAACATCCTCTAATGCTCCTGAAGCTTTAAATCGTATGGTTTCAGGTGGATACCGACATTTGGTGTGTAATTTCATTCTTTTGATTTACAAGTTTTTTTTTGATTTATAAAAAAAGGTTTATTTTTTTATTAGGATCAGAAAGGTTATATTATTTATTTACTAATTTTTTTAAGTTTTTATTGATTAAATAAAATTAATAATCTCTAACAATATATTATTAGTTATTATATAGAAAAATATTAAAGGTGTCTTCATGTATTTGACACATTCCCTTTTGTATAAATTAAGTATAATATTAGAATTAGAGTTAGAGTTAGAGTTAAAATTAGAATCATTTATTAGTATAATTATACGAGAAATATTTTTTAGAAAATTTATTAGTTTACACATAGTGTTTATACACAAGTATAATTTATTGAATTACATATTTGTGCAATATACTAATCAAACTAATTTTTACAAAAGAAAATTAAACCCTCACTTTTGGTTAGAGTAAGGGTGGGTTTGAGATCAGACAAAATATAGTTTATACCAAAATTTCGCAAAGAATTTTTTTTGTTAGAAGCCAAAAGATGGTTTCATAATTAAAATTTTGAGATATCTATATTGCTGTGTACAAATAGAAATTGTCTAGGTTATATATATAAATAATATAATATTTTAAAATTTTAATTATAACACTATTTTTTAGTTTTTAATAAAAAAATTCTTATAAAATTTTAATATAGTTAATACTCTCTATAATTATATAGTTAGAATAATATATGGGATCTTTGCTAGAAAAATGACCCTTCAAGGCTATGTTGATTTTGTGAATAAAAATCAAATTTGCTAACAATCTAGTCATCTAATTTGAATGAATTTTGTGAAGCTAAATGAGCTCTACAAAATAAAAAAAAAAGATCATTTGAATTGGATGACTAGATGGCTGGCATATTTAATTTCTATTCACTAAATCAATATTGCTTCGGTGGGTCATTTTCCTAGCAAAGATCCCATATAGTAGTTTTTTTAGAAATATATTTATAAAAAGATTGTTTTATATAAAAAATTTTTTATATATTTATAGTAATTTGTTTTATAAAATTGGATATTTATATAGAGATATGATTATATAGAATATAACTATATTTAAAAAAAAATCTGATTATATAGGTTATATTTTGTCTAATTTTAAATCTACTTTATTTTAATTATAAGTATAGATTTAATTTCTGTTTATAAAAATTATTTTATTAGTATAGTATATTATATAAATTTAAAGATTATCTAAAGCAAAGCAAATCTGTATAAACTGTTAATTAATATAACTGTTCTATACATTGTAATATAACAAGTTGACCCTTGGTTAACAAGTTATACTACTTGACTTAACGTATAAGAGTGGTTAAGAAATGTGTTTATATAGTTTTATAACAGAAAATAGTTTATAAATAAAATAAAATATTGTCAACTTATTGCTAATGCGACCTCAAAAATAAAAGTAAAACCTAAAAACTAAACCAAAATACTATAAAATAACTAAATAAAAACCAAAAATAAATAAATTTACTCGAGTATAAATCAAAAATATCAAAAGAAAAACAATAATTTTACTATAAAACTCAATAAAAATAC